GCAATGGCAAAAATATCAAATTCTCTTTAGGTACATGCTGATAAAATAAGAAAAAGGAAAATCCCAGCTTTATTCTAGTTCCAACACAAAAGGACTTGGACTCAACATTTACCCTGGCATCAGCGCAGAACAGCAGCATTAACCCTATTTTAGTCCTGATCTTCATTTTAACCATCCGTGTACTAATTTTATTGTCTCCTCGGCCTCATTATTAACATGTGTCCTAATCTTAATGTAGATCCCTCATTCTATATTTAATAATTCTATTCTCAGCCCTACAAGTAATGCTAATCTTAATTCCACTTTTCAGATCACTTACGTAATTTTTTTTCTCATGACCACCTCAATCCTTTCTCTCACCGGCACCTGGAAACCTCTACTCTTGTTGCCTGTTTATCAGCTCTCTCTGCCCAGAGGCCCTAATGTTCATGTATGGTAAAGTCCTCTCTAGGCAAAATACAGCCCAGAATTAAACAAAGCAGTCTAAAAGAATCTGTTTTAATGAAATCTGATTTGTAGAATAAATGGTTTAACACAGGCTTTAGAATCAACATCTTATTCTGAATTAACTCTGTGTGGACAGTTATCTATTGGATACTCCAGGAGAAAATCCAAAATAAATTTATTCAATCACAACCCACAATGTGTCCAACGATAGAGGTGGCCAGAGACATATTTCCAGCATAAGTAACCGTTACACAATTGAGTTGGGGGCAAAGTGGAGGCCAAAGGGATACAAAAAGAATGAAGTGTAGAAGGGCTTGGGTGTGTGGGGATCCGAGAATTCTTCCTAGAGGTTTGAATGACAGCAAAGGGAACAAAATTAATATGAAATGTTTGCTGCTTTACTGTATGGAAAGAGTTAAAGCATGTTGTGCATTAAGATGGGAAGATGTGGGGGAAGCAGTTACGCCAAGGAGAGAAATGATTAAGGGGGAAGGTACAGATTATTTTAGAAATATATAGAAGCTACTGAATTGGATAGAACTGGAAAAAGGGATCTCTTACAGACACTGTAAGACTATAAGATTTAGGGCCCATGAGGGCAGCCACTTACCTATCCACCTAATACAATACATCATCTGAGTTGAAAGCATTTAATGGACATTATTCAAGAACCTCAGGGTTTCAGTTGCCTATTCAACTACGGTCACCAGTTCACATCTGAAGGTCTCATTGAATCGTGAATAGGTCCTGGTGCATAGGGCCCAGCTCCTGTTGCATCCTTCCAGCCCCCAGTGAAGCCAGCCTTCCTGGTTTCCCCTTGGTAGAATTAATCACTCAACCTTGAAGGGTACCAGAATATACCACTCCAAAATAGGCCTCTTTGGCATATGAATTATTTTGAGCTAAAGGCCATTCAGAACCAGCAGGTGCAGGAAAAGCTCTAAAAACAGGACAAAAGTTTTCCATTTGTAAAGGAAATTTACATTTATAAAGGTGCACCCCTCTCCTGTACCAGGAAGAGAAGGACTCAACAATTTTTATCAAAGGAGAAGGCATAGACTTAAACCTGCAAAACAAACCTTACTAAACAACACTTGTTTACACTTTTCCTGATCATCTTCCCATAACCTGCCTCCCCCAGGCAGAAGCCCAAACTCCTTTTCCTTTGTTTAGCCTAAGATGGGATATAAGCCCCAGTTCTAACCACTCCTGGATTCCTCATCACTGGGTGCCCCCATGTATATGAGCAATGCAGATGTTAATAAACTTGTTTTTCTCTTGTTCATCTGTTTTTTTCCCATCTAATTTACAGGGCCTCAGCTGGAGAATCTAAGATGAGTAGAGGAAAAAGATTATTTTTCCTCCCCTCCACCCCTCTACACACACCTGGAGGGGGCACACCGCACACCGCCTGTTACTCCCGCATATGTCTCCCTCCCTCCCGTGTATCAGTCCCCAGCACAGCCCCTGGCCCACGTAGACCTGAATGTGTTACACCACAATGCCCACTGGTGCTGGGGCTCATCTTCTGTGAGAGTCTCCAGTGTTTCCTTCCTTGCTCCAGGGGGTCATATAAGTGGTTGCCATATTGGTGAAGTATTTTGAATATCACCTCTGTTCGGGGGGGCAAGGGGTGGGAAGCCATCACCTGATGAAGCCCAACCTCTGATTCCCCTTAAGTTCATGGACCGTGAAGTACAAAGGAACAGAATTCCCTGCTTCAAAAGCCTGAGTGAATAAACAAACAGGTGCCTCTCCAGAGTGGCTAAAATTACAGAGGACGAGGCGAGGAACCACAATTGGCAGAAAGGCTTAGGTGTGGGACTGTTGCTGGCCCCCAGGCATCCAGAAAGAACCAAAGGCCTGATCAGAAACTGAAAGCCCGCAAATAGACAGGACTGAGTGATCAGCTTGGGAGGGTAGACGGTGTGCGAGGTGGAGTGAACACTTGCTTTGGAGTCCGCAGACCAGATGCAGTGGATCGCTTTCCAAAGAAGTCTGCAACAGCATATTTATCCCATCCCTTTTTGTGCTCTTTTTACAACGTGACTGATGCTCATCTCACCAAGAGGTGGGGACTATGTTTGCTCCCCTTGAATCCGGGCAAGGCCTCGTCTGCCCGGACGCATGGGATACGGCAGAAGTGATGCTGTGTGACTTCCAAGTCTACGTCACAAAAAAGATACAGCTTCAACATAGCTGGCTCTCTCTTTCCATCTCTCTCTCAGGACACTCACCTTTGGAACCCAGTCACCATGTCATCAGGAATCCTAGCCCACACGGAAAGGCCATGTGTAGGGGTTCCTGCTGACAGCCCACACCCACCTTAGACCCTTCAGATGACTCCAGCCCCCAGCCTTCAAATCTTCCAGGTAGCTTCCCACTGTCTCCTGTCTGAGTTCCTAACCCAAAGAAACCATGATATAATAAATGATTATTGTGTTGTTTTAAGCCACTGTTTTAAGGTAACAGTTTATGCAACAATAAATAACAATAATACAGGCAGCTTGAATGCTGGCTTTACTACTTATTAGCTGTGTGACCCTGGACAAATCCTCCTCTCCCCGAGCTGCAGTCTCCTTGCCAGACAATGGATATGAGCACACAACACCTTCCCTACAGGGCTGTCCTGAGTATCAGAGCTAATAACTGAGATGCCTATCACCCCCGGTTGCTCTCTCAAGCTCCCTTGTTTGTTTGTTTCCCCTGCTTACTTACTAACTTCATCTTCCCACTTTGAGAATGTACATCCCATGAAAGCCCATCCTGCTCACTGCTTTACCCCCAGTGCCTAGAGGAACACCTGCCACAGCAACTTTCCCAATCAGAACTTGTTGACTGAAAAGATAACAAAACTAACACAGCAGCAAACTGTTGACAAAATGTTCTGTTAGTAAGTGACTAAGGCAGGGAAGCAAGAGGCCGTCAGGGCAGAGCAGGGACCGCCCAGGCCTGGTAGGCAGTCTAGAGCCCAGCGCACTCCAAAGTCAGAGAGATCTGAAGTCCTTCCCCACAGAGGCAGGGCTGGAGACGCCAAGGGAGTGACTCCTCCCAGAAGTGCCGAGTGGTGGTCTCACCACCTGGCAACACATCCCCTTTCCACCAGGAGCCTCTGCTAGCCCTAGCATTTGGCTTGTTTCCTGCAGTCCCACTAGCAAAGGATGGCTGGCTCACCCTTGGCCACAGTAGAACTTCTGACTCCTTTGTTTGTAATTTACATCCCACCTAAGTGCAAAGAAAGTTTAAGGTGGTAATTCTTGTCTTTTAGGTTCTACCTGGGACTGGTACATAGCTCCTGCTGCTCCTTCTGAAGCCAACTGTTCATTTTCCACACTGCAGGCTTACCTACTACATAGACTTCTTCCCACTTCCTTGAGAATAGTCCACTGTGGGAAGAGGGGAAACTGAAATTAAGTGCAATTGGTCCAAGGTGGATAATCACAGTGGACTGGTTTTCAAGTACTGGTCTCAGGTTTAAGCCACCCATGCTGTCATGGAACTTCAGAAACTGGCTCTTAAACAGGATGATGAAATGACAGGGTCCAGCTAACCCTTGCTGTTCTTTGGCAAAAATGTAAGAATTGCTTAAAAATCAGTGCCAAAGGGAAAGAGAAAAGTTGAGCTTCAAAAAAGCACTTCCCAGGGCTTGCCCGGTAGTATAGGGGTTAAGTTCTCGCACTCCGCTTCGGTGGCCAGGGGTTTGCGGGTTCGGATCCCAGGCGCGGATCTACGCACCGCTCACCAAGCCATGCTGTGGTGGCACCCTATACACAAAATAGAGGAAGATGGGCACAGATGTTAGCTCAGGGCCAATCTTCCTCATCAAAAAAAAACAAAAAAAAAACACTTCTCCAAGAGGACACAAAAGTACTAGGCAAGTTTTTTTGTTTTTGTTTTTGTTTCCTGTTGGCCATTCAATACTTTCTTTCACTGGGATAGCAATTTCCTTTCAAGATGTTCATGGTTCTTAGACAAAGACTTTTAAAGCTGTAAGCACTCAGGGGCCATCTCATCCACTATCTCCTAGCAGGCATCAGTTTTTGCTTGTTCTTAGTTCCTAGGAAGGTGAGTCCTCACATCTGTTCAGCCACATGCTCCAGACTCCCAGTACGTGCCCATCACTGTCAGAGAATTCTTTAAACAGCAGTGATAATGGCTAGCATTTACCCAACATACTCCATGGACCAAGAACCATCCTAAGCACTAGTCCTTGCATCCATCCTATGGAGGAATGTAGGATGATGATGATGACAGTGATGATGACGATCTTCACAAATGAGGACATGGAGACTAGAGATTAAGGAACTCTTTGGCATGTGGTGGAAACTGATGCTCTCGTAGTCTGACTCCAGAACTTACACTTTTGATGGATAATGTCATCACTTACTAATCTCAGCTCTTATCCCGTCCTGCTTTGCTCTGCTAAGCCCTCATTGGATCAATAAAACACCTCTTTCCACCCCTCCACTTCAATGCCTTTTCATTAACGTGGAGTCCTCTGAGCCTCCCTCCTTGGACTGAAGTCCACTGTGTTCACAGTAAGGGACAAGGTGCTGAGTCACATTGTTCACTGCTTTATTGAGATTTGGGGCGATCCTTTCCCAAGAGACACCACAGTGTGAAAGGGATGCCACCTCCCGCTCCATAGGTCCATCTGTCCATCTCAGCAATGAGGGGTGCCTTCCTTTGGTCAGGATTCTCACCAACTATCCACTGGAAGCAGCTCTCCAAACCTGCTCCCATTTCTTCTCCCTTAATCATCCTCCCAGATAAACACAAAGCCAAAGGGAGCAATTTTGGGAGAGGAAGATTGTGAGTGTGGACTGAGGGTGGTACATGAGCGCAAAGGAGACGGGGGCAAGTTTGAGCAGAAACCGAGTGTGATGAGGAGAGGGTGTGGATGGCCCCACTAACATGAATTGGGGGAAAGTGCATAACAATGTGTAGGGTGGGTGCATACTCTGTTGGAAGAATACAACGATTTTAAGGTGCAAAGGGCAAGGATACACAAGGTGCCATGAGTACACACAGGGAAAATGTGTGGGTAAATGTGGATGTATGCAAGTAAGGAAGACACAACTCAGCATGCCAGACAAATGGCACACGCCTACCCACACACTCAGAAGGGCACACCCATGACCACAAGAAGGGCACGCATAGCTATGAGTGAAGGGAATACAGAGGAGCACATGTGACCACAGGAAGGGGGAAGAAAGCACATGTGAGAAGCATGCGTGCACATGAGCATGTCCAGTTGGAACAAAGAGGGGAGGGGAAGATACATATGTGTTGGGCAGCATGAGCACACACAGAGCAGAGGCAAGGAGCATGTGAGCCTTGGCAAGAATGAGTGCCCCGAAGAAGCAAAATTCAGAAGGGGCAAAATTTGTGGATGGAAGGAGATTACCATGGTGAGAGAAATGGAGAGGCCCCTGTTGGGGCGGAAAGGGCACTGTGGGGAGACCCCTGCTGGATGGGAGTAGAGCACAAAAGCAAGGGAGCTGCAGGGTTGCCATGGCAACAAGACAGAGGGTGTTGTAGAGAAGGGAAAGGTGTATGTGGTGAGGCTGCTGAGGAGCCAGTGAGTGAGAAGCTTCAAGCGAGGTACAAACTAGAGTATGAAGTAGTGATATAAAATTGTATGAACAAATAAGAGAGAAAAGGGTCTGGTTTCCAGAGTATCAGAGACCCAGATAACCCCAGACTCACAGGGGGGGCCCGTATTTACAAGAGATGGGATAGGGTAGCATGTTCTTCCCATCTCGGGATAGGGATCCCCTGCTTCCTCCCAAGCTCCCCCTTCCCCTCCTTCCCTTCCCTTCCCCTCCTTGCCTGTCCTCCCTCACACCCCCTCACTTGTAAAGCAAATGGACTCGACTCCCATCACAGCTAAGCCGGTCGGGGGGCTCAGCAGGCCCCCTGGGCAGGCCCCCGGAGGGGTCTGGGGGTGTCGGAGGGTGGCGCCGCGAGCGGAGCTGCTGCCGAGACTGGAGCTGATGGCGCAGTTCAGAGACACGCTCCTCTTTCTGGAGAAAGAACAATAATTGGAAGAGTGGGTGGAGAGGAGGGAAAGGGAAGAAAGGCAGAGAAAAATGTGGGGGGATTAAAATGAGGACTCAGGAAAAGAACAAGGGAAGCCAAAAGGGTATAGTGGGGCACCAGTGGAAGAAGAGAGATCGGGGAAATAAAGAAGGGGGAGAGGGGAGAAGTCAGCACACACGGCTTCCAATACCTCACACAGATTGTTAACCCAGTTTGCATATTCCCTGCTCTGGCTCCCCACCAGCCCCTAACTATAGCCTGGGGCACAGAGAGCACCGTGGGTACCTGGCCAGATCCCTTTCACTGGGGGTATGCTCAACATCCAGCTGCCCCCACAGCACATGGCTGCGCCCATCTCCTCCGGGGGGGTCAAGTCCACAGTGCAGTTCATGCCCCACAGCCCCCTCCACCTGATGAGACCCACTGTTGATTTGACCTGAGGTGGAATCCTTGCTCAGCCTTTCCCCTTCCCTAGCCCCTCCACTCACTCCCTGCAGCTCTTCTCCTGAGACCCTCCCTCAATAGATCACACACACCTGAACCCCTATCTCAGGCTCTGCTTCAGAAAACCCGACCTGAGACGTGGACTTCCTGGACCCCGCCACCAGCCCTGCCACCACCACCTACCTCAGCAATGATCTTCTCCAGTTCGCGGTTCTCCTTCTCCAACAGCCGGGATTTCTCCTCCTCGTTGTTGTTGGTAGATGACCCTGTCTTCATGGTGTCCTGTGCCTCTGACTGCCATTCGCCTCGGGTGATCAGCCTGCGCATCTGGGGACAAATGTTTGGGGCATGGGACGCCGAGCAGGGGCTGTGTCAGCGATTAGCTGATGGTGGGTTGGAGTTGGAAGGAATGAAAATAAGAGAGACAAGCTGGGCCCCAAACAAGGGAAGAGGTGGGAGGACGGGGCAGGGAAGGGAAGGGGAGAGGCCTGGGAAGAAGGGCTGGAGGGCATGGGGTAGAGATGGTAGGACAAGACCCCAAACCTCACCTTGGGCACAAACAGCACAACCAGAGTGATATAGGAGGAGAAAACTATAGCAAGAGAGGCAAAGGCAAAGGCCGCATCCTGCTGGCTGGACAGGATCATGGTGACGGGTGCAGTGATGAGGCACAGGACCTGGAGGCAGAACGTGTTTTGGGGTTTCAGATCTGCAGGCTCAGAAAAGACCCAGGGTTTTCTTCCCCCCAGGAGAGAGTCTATGAGGACAGGTTCCTGGTGAACTTCCCATTTGAAAAGGATCATCCTCAACTCTACACTGAAAAGAATCTCAAACAAACTGTCCCAAACCAGTTCCATCTCTAGGTCAACCCCTCCCTCAAGGCAGGAACTCCCATGATCTCTATACACACATTCAGGGTCCTTGAAAGCCAGTCCCTGGGCAAACCTGGCAGGAAATCTCGATTCAGACTCAGGCTGTGAACTATACTCAAGCAATTTAACCTCTCTCTTTCTGCTTCTGCATCTAAATAGTGGGGATATTACTTCATTGGGTGGTTGCATGAACATTAATAAGATAGTGTCTATAGTGTGCTTTATAAACTGTAAAGTGCTTTACAAATCTGAGGCATTAAAAAACTTTTTAAGACTTCCACCCAACTAATCCCAGATCTAGCGCCTGAGTCTTCCCATGCTACCCTATCCGGGTTGCTGTAGTCAGCCCCCGGGGTCAATGTCAGGTATCCAGGGAGCTCACCGCCACATTGTAGATGGCCATGCCCACAGCCCGGTGGTCATTGATCTTCTCAGTGGACACACTCTTGGTCTCATAAGCAAGAAAGATACCCAGTAGCAGCAGCAGCCCCTTGTAACCATAGAAAATGCCTAGGACGGCAGGAAAGGGTCACCTGGGCAACAAGACCTCCACGTTCCCATGCATCCCTATCCTCTTGATACCTTTCACCTACTGCTGCTCCTTCTTACAGCTCCACAATGAGAAGGGGGCCTCCTCTCCAATCCAGACCCTCTGACTTAGCACATCCCTTCCCCTAGTGGCCACCCACCTTGGCCAGACCTCAGCACATCCTCCTGAGACTAGAAGCCATGTCACACAGGAAGATGACAGTCATGAGCAGCTGTCAGTCAGGCAAGGGTCTGGACAACACACAGTGTCTCACCCTCTTACCCTCCCGGTGAGAAGACAGCTTTCCAGGCTGAGAGTAGGTTAGCCATTTGTGGTCACAGACCAGAGCAACGTTAAAAAGGCCAAGGGGGGCCTAAACCCTCACAGCCACGGTCTTACTCTAGGGAGCTGACCAGACACAAATGGTGTCAGATCTGGAGATGAGGATGAGCCATCCCCACTGGTCCCTCTGCTGAACACAAGTGCTACCTCATCCCTGCTTTAGAGCCTAAGCTCCTCACAGAAAAAGACCAGCTCTCCTCCATCCTCAGAAAGATTAGTGCAATGACAAAGAGGAGGACATTCAAATTGGGTTGACATAAGCTCTCTGCTTCTTTTTCCAAAGACCCTTCTCCCTCCAAATTGTCCTTGCCCCATCCCCCTGCCTTTGCTGCATCATTCCCCTCCTTCCCCCACATCCCACACACCAAGCCACGTGTTCATCTTCCTGGAGCTGCAGTGCTCCAGCTGGGGCAGAATCGACACGTCAATATCTTCCTTCGGTTCCTCCTTGGCAAAAGTCTAAGCCGGAAATAGGGCCACAGGAAAGATGGTTGCCATCCACCCCTCCCCTCCCCACCTCTGCTCAGTCCCTGACTCCCAACTCTGCCCCCTCTTTCCTATGAGACCCTCAATAGTGAGGCCACATCCCACACAGCCCAAGTGGTGTTTGCATAAACACCTTAGAAATGCTTGTCTCCTGCTTTCCATGATGGCTGGAAAGTCTACACATGCTTCCCAGATCCCCACCACTTCCTTTCTTCAGATGAACCCAGAGGCCTCTGATGGAGGTCCTTCTAGGAAGGAGAGGAAAAGCTGCTGACACGCAGACGGCTGGAGAGCACTCTCCCACTGGGTGGCTCTGCACCTCAAGACCACAAGCAGCCCTGGAGGCCCTGAGCACCAGTGAGCCCTGCTCAGCCTCCTGACCCCAGTGCCTCCTTTCATGCTGTACCTCAATGGTCCGGTGCAAGGGGTCCACAATCTGCCAGATGGCAAGAGTGAGGACATCCATGCCCACCAGCAGGCCCACTGTGGCATACAGCTTCCAGGGCTCCAGGGTCTGGGTAAACAAGGACCACAGGCATGTCAGAGAAAGTCTTCTAAGCCCAGAGAGCCAAGGAGCTAGGGGCTGAGGGATAGGAAGCAGCTCACCTTCCTCCACTCCTTCTTTTCCTCCTTCTTTGTGAAGACCGTGTGGACCCACCAGATCTTGGTGAACATGGAGCCGTAGCCCAGACTAAAGCCCAGACCCAGGAGCCAGAGGCGGGCCTAGGAAAGGAGAGAGGGCAGGGCAGAATAGGGCAGGGCAGTAGATGGGACTGTGGTGAGGATGGGGCAGGGCTGTAGCAGGGAACAGATGACAAGGCAGGCAGAATGCAGCCAGTAGGGGACAGTAGGGAGAGGGAAGGGCCAGGAGGGGATGGTCTCTCTATCTTCAACAAATCCCTCCCATTCATCTTCTACTTTGCTACCAAGGTGATCTTGCCAAAAACTTCTGGTTTTAATGGCCAATAACATCTGATTGCTCCCCAGTGCCTACAGGTTGCAGCTTGAACACCAGATGTGGCACAAGGCCCTTCACAACACAGTCCCATTCACCTTTCCAGGCTCATCTCCCAGGCCCTCACCTACGCCACTCTCTAGCCATGCTGAACTGCTCGCTATCCCTTGATCTCTCTCTTCCATGTCTTTGCTAGCCACATGATGTTCCTTCTGCCTCTGGAGTAACCATCCTTTATTTCGCCAGCTGACAAAATCCCATGCATTCTTCAATATTCAAATGCCACCTCTTGTGAGGTCCGCCTAGCTACTCCGTGAGCTGCTTTCTCTTCTTTGCTCCCACGGCACTTTGCACAGATCCCTACTCTGATACCTCTCATACTGCATAGCAGCTAATTGTCTGCCTCTCCCACTGCACTGAGATCTCCCTGGGAACAGACAGTTCCTGATGAAATGCATGTGCATGTATGTGCAAATGCCATGTGCACAGATGCATGATCAGGACAGGTACAGGGCAGAGGAAAGAAAAAGAGTGAGGATGGGCAGGAAAAAGGGTGGGAGTTTCCCACCAGCATGACAGATAACCATACAAATACTGCAGCTGAAGCCAGTCTTTCCCCACAATCCCAGAATCTTCCAAGTACCAAGAGTCCCATAGGCCCTCCTGCTGTGTAACAGGAGTCCCTTCCCCCAACTCTCCCGGCTATTGGTTCAGATCTCTGCCTCCGTCCTTCCAAACCCCAACTGAGGCTCACATGGGAAGTCCACAGTTCTTGTTCTCAGCCCCCACACTACACACAAGCCACCATTGTTCAGAGTTCTTTGTGTAGACCCCCTTCCTTTGCCTTCACTGCCTCCCTCTTCTTCTCTGCAAGGCCTGCCATGGCAACCTTGGAACTGACAAGTGAACCACAAAGCAAAAAAGTCTGGAGGCGCAGAAAGAAGGGAGAGGGCCAGACAGAGACCAGAGGGGTGATGCTAGGAGAAGGAACAGGGACAAGAGTCAGGGAAAGATGAGCAAAGGGAAAGGCAGGAACTATATACATCACAGAAGGTGCTCCTGAGGGGGTGGGAGAGCCACGTTCTGCAAGGGATCTGCCCCCGACTCCTCACCTGGCAGACGAAGGGGAACTGGTTTCTCCCGATGTGGTACCCATCCAGCCCCAGGGGGAAGACGGCAGCTAACGCCAGCGAGCAGCCCACAGCAGTCAGGTTATTCAGGTTGGGCTGTGAGTTCTGGATGTAACTAGGGCAGAGGTGGGAAGGGTGGGAAAGGAAGAGCAGGGTTATTCCTCTACTCCAGGAAGGCTCAGCTCTCCAAATGCCACACAATGGCCTGACCCAACCTCTGGGCCGTAGGACAAAGGAGCACAGGCTTGGAGCAGGCTGCCGAGCCTTGAGAGACAAAGCTGATGGGTCATGGGGCTGGAGATGGGGCAGCAGGGGTTTCCCCTGCACAGGATCCCTGGCACACACTCTATTTAGAGCCCCACACCATGTTACCTGGCCCCAAAGGCTCTTTTATTTTCAGTTAGCTGCTTTGGAGCAGGGATGGGAGCTACATCTGGTTCCCCACCTTTCATTCTCAGTGGTCACTGGGAAGCAGTAAGTCAGAGTAGAAACCTCAATGAATCAAGAGGAGTTACACAGGTTTATTCTCACACCCCTCAAGGGGCGAGACTGATCATTATCTTGAGAGGCAGAAAGGACAAGGAAAATGTCAGAAGAGAAACTTACCGGACATGGGAGTTGTAGATGTTAAAGGACAGACAGACAACAGCTAGGACAATGCCCAGGCTGGAGAGAACCGAGACGGAGATAAAGAGTTTCTGTGACAGGAAGCGGAACGTCTTGATGACCAGGGTCTGGTCAGCTGGGGGGGACCCTCCTGCATGACACAGGGGAGGGTGAGGAGAGGGAGAAGAGAAGGGAAGGAGGACAAAGGATGAAGGTGGGACAGGAGAAGGGGCGAAGGACAAGGGTGCTGACAGACAGTCAGTCTTTGGCTCTGAGAAGAGGAGGTCCTAACTGCCCTGAGTAGCGGTTGTTGCAGGTGGAGTGTTCACTGATGCTGGGGCTTAGGGAGCAATCAGAAATGAGAAACGGAGCGAATGTCCTGTCTAGAGGCTGAGAAAGGCTGAAGTCTATCACCAAAGTTGTAGAGTCTTTTTCTGTATTATTTGTTCTTTGCGTTTTTCTGTCTTTCTTGCAGCAAAGGAAAATGGGAGGGGAAAGAAGGGGGTAACTAGAAATAATTTTTATGAGGTCTCTCAAAACTCACATCAAGGGGGCCGGCCCGGTGGCGCAAGCAGTTAAGTGCACACGCTCCGCTGCGGCGGCCCCGGGGTTCGCCGGTTCGGATCCAGGGCGCGCACTGACGCACCGCTTGTCAAGCCATGCTGTGGCGGCATCCCATATAAAGTGGAGGAAGATGGGCATGGATGTTAGCCCAGGGCCAGTCTTCCTCGGCAAAAAAAAAAAGAGGAGGATTGGCAGATGTTAGCACAGGGCTGATCTTCCTCACAAAAAAAAAAAAAGTAAAAAAAAAACCTCACATCAAAAAGTGCAAAAAGACAGTTGTAGAATCATAAAGCTACGGAGCCTCAGAGTATCTAGTCTGGCCTCCTAACCTCAGGGAGAAAAAAAGAAAACACCTAATCTGTGAGTTTAACCTTGGTAGGGTGATAGTCCCACAGGGAAGCTCAAATTTGTCAGAGTTCACCAAAAAAAAAAAAATTAATTTCAATTTGCTTAGCTTAAAAAAAAAAGTGTAATTTAGGCCATGCAGCATTTATAGCAGCACAGAACACTGTCCTAAATTCAAATTGAAAAAAAGAATGTCAATTTGAGCAGTGCTGGGAACTACTAGACTTCAGCTGGGAGGGCAGATGGCAGCTATCATCGATGGCTGTGCCTCTCCTCCAAGCTTAAGATGCTGAGCTGTTATGTTATCAGTCAGTCCTTCCTTTTGCCCGCCTTCAGTATCTTTCCTATTCCCTATTATTTAGCCCACCAATATATGAAGAAATAATCGCTTACCTTCCCTCTTTTTAAGCACATTTTAGCAGAAGACAGTTACATGAGCCAAAGCTCATCACCTCTTATTGTTTAAGCAACCATTTTCCGGACAGATGAAAAGGCAACTCTAGGCTTGAAGTAGCTGATTCAGATATATCAAGGCACCAGAACATCTGGGAAACTCAAATGCAGTTTCCCTTTCCCGCCCTCTGCCCACCCCCTGCCTCTAATCCCCAGTTACCCAGCAATGTGCTACTTTTAATAGTACATTGCTACCAACCACCTATTCCCTCTCCAAATACACCAGTCTCCCCTACCCACGTCTTGGAGGTTTTATTCCCTTTCTCTAAACCCCGGCCCCCGGCCCACCTCCCTGGCACTTTTCAACCTCATGGCACCTACCACCCCACCCTCATTCAAATGCATGACCCTTTTTCTTGATTGTTCAGAGGGGTTGAAGGAAAATATAAACAAGATCCACTTACCAATCCACTTATCTGTTTTGGACCAGGAGAGATCATCCTTGGTGCTGTCATAGTAGCCAATCTTCTTGTAGCTGCCACCTGGGCAGATGGCAATAGAAAGAGTGACCATGGGTAGGTGAAAAGCCAATCCTGGGCATTTTCAACTTCCTACTTCCCTAAAGTAGATTTCTACGGTTGTATCTGATTTTCCCTTCACCTGAGCCCCTGAAGGAAACTTGGAGGGACCTGAGGAGTCACTTGAATCAGCAATCTGACTTAAAAGCAATATAAGGTGGATCCCAAGGCAATGCAAATAAATAAGAATATCATATGTTTCAAGCCCTTCAGTGAAGAAGGCTCTCCACAGCATGTCTGCCACCCCTTCCACAGCCTCACACCTCTCTCAGCAAAATGTCTCTCACTTTGATTCTGGCTTTAAAAACTTTAAACATATTTCCGCTTATTCTCCCTCTCATGATAGATAGAATCACAGGATCTATTTTCCCAGTGGCTTTCATTTTAATTTTAGAAGTTTCTCTTCCGTTGGCTTGGGTTCTAATTTCTTAGATAAGTTGCATCTGCCTCTTAAAGAGCCACAAAGTGAAATTCAGTCACTCTTAAGATTTCTGTTCTAGAACTGCCCCAGTTACCATAACTTTTCCTTCAAAAGCCAACTCACACCCCTTTAACCATGGCTGAAGTCCATTTCTCTTGTCCTGGTTACAAAGAAGATCTGAGAGGATGTGGGAGGTAGAGAGAAGGAAAGAAAGAAACTTTTCACAGAAGGCCAAGAAATGGCTCTTTTGGCCATCCTGTAAGAGGGTGAGAGTATGGTGGAGTCAAAAAATTAACTCACAGAAGCTTTGCAAATACATTAGTGTGCTAAGTTATAAGGAAATATAGTCTAGAAAAGCCACACTATACATACTACAAAAAATTAGGAACGCTTATTTACATCACAAGGAAATTCAAATGGATTGCCTTTAAAAATAGCAGTTTTCCGAGGAAGATGGGCACGGATGTTAGCTCAGGGCCAGTCTTCCTCAGCAAAAAAAGAGGAGGATTGGCAGATGTTAGCACAGGGCTGATCTTCCTCACAAAATAAATAAATAAATAAGTAAATAAAAATAGCAGTTTTCCTGGATTCAGCTTTCTTTGAGGCCATGAGTATGCAAGTGACAGGCCATTAACCCCCAACCCAAGCCCCCCAAGGGGAATTTCTGAAATTAAAATGGAAGCCAATGGGAAAGAGTGGCTGTTTTTAATTTGCATGCCCCTTTTTAAGAACACAACCACTGCAACCCAAGGAAACCCACCCACACCTAACCTTTTTATTCTTATTATTGTTATTTAACAGCTTGATGAACACAGTGAAATGAGAAGGGGAGGAGGTGGGGAGGCGCCAAGGCAATCTTGTGATGTCTCCTGGTGTTCTTCTCCCAGACAGTGTCCTAGCTCAGACCCAGCCTGGCCTCCCTCACATCCCCATCCCCTCCTGCCCCTGTGCTCACCCTGTAGCTGCTCGATCAGTGTCCATGCCATCCGAGAGCCGCTGGCATCAAACACCACATGGCCCTGAGGGAGAGAAACATGTGGAGGAAGGTAAAGGGGATAAAAGCAAGAGTGAATAGAGAACATCAGGGACTCTTTGAATCCTTATGTTTTTGATGTAATTGAGCTTCTGAATGAACTCTATTTATGGCATTTGCCTGCATATAGGACGTACCCCAGATGCCCATACCCTAGATTTTAGAAACATTATTCTTTTGGGAAGAAGCTTCACCCATGAGATTTGAATGGGAAAAATCCCCAGATCGAGCACCAGGAGACCTGGCTTCTGGCTGTGTGACCTGAGCAAGTCAACAAATCCCTCTGGACACTAATTTCTCCACTTTAAAAAGAATAAGGAGATGATCTTTCACACTGTTTCTTCTTTTAAAATTCTATGATTCTCATCTGACTCATAAATATCCGAATTGAAAAGAAATGAGGGGAGGGGTTAAAAGAAATGGAATATACTATTTTTCCCTTCTAGTCTCTTGTGGGTTTTTCTGCTTTGGGGGTCCCTACTTCCCTGATCTGTGACAGATTATGGCAGAGAAGTAACTGAGAGAGAGAATGCATGTTTCCAGGAGAAGCCTCTGAGAGGTCTCTCTCACAATGGGAGGACAGAGGAATATGGAGGAGGTTGCTGTAACTCACGGAGACACCCTCAAAGGATGAGGAGTTCATTGCCCGGTAGATTTGGTCAGTAATGGTCTGGTTGTTGTAGTTGAAGTCTTCCAGGCGCACACCCGAACGGCTGCCCCCTCCAGATGTCTTGTTCAGGGCCAATGCCAAGGCCCAGATGGCATCATAGGCCAGGGGTGCCTCCTGGAAGCCACCTGTCTCCTCAGGGTGTCTTTTTAGTCGCTTGGTCAGCTTCTCCACAAACTCCTGGGATGTCTGAGAAGGGAAGAACAGAAGGAAGGATTGGAGTGGGGAGGAGGAGGGACGGGCATCTGATTCTGTCTCTGACACTTCAACTTGAATGGATGGTTTGTGTTCATGTTGTCAGATTGAACATATGTACATTCAAAATCTTTAACTATATCCATGTGTCTGTCTCAGATCAGAAGCTACCAGACTGGAGTAGAGATTAACTGGGTCCAACGGTCTTAGTGTGTATAGCTGCTAGCTCAGAACTACAAACAGAGAACTTTAATGAATAAACACTGCATAATGAATGGCAAAGGATAGAAAGTAGAGAGATAGCAAAGCAAGAGACATGGATAATCCAATGAAGAGCTGCAAAGCTGATGTCCTCTCATCCTTCAGACTCTCAATAGAATTGATCTAGGACCTAACAGCTCCTCCGATTCTGAAAGATTCTAGAAAAGGTGACACCACAGCCTTCCTCACCCTGCTTGTCAATCAGGAATATTTTTCTTTAGTGTGCTAACTTCTTGTCATCCTCCTCTGCTGTCATTTCACTGCATCTTAGAGGGGTTTCAGAAGACTGAGGACTGCAGAAATACCCTTCACATTTTTGAAGTCCATTATTCAATCCCTACCCAAACCCCTCTCAACTCTCAATCTTCTTTTTCCAAGAAAGCGAAAAAGAATGAAATGAGTGGAGAGACGCGAATTTCTATACCTGGCAGCAACCTTGTTTGGCTAAATAACCATAGATAAATTGCTTCAGTTTTTGGAAATGATTTGCATGTAATGGAGAAAATCACATCTGCCCTTCCTTACCTCCCAGAAACCATACACGAGAAGGCTCAGTGGCCACCTCCTGGCAAGGCACAAGTAATAGACAAGGGCACTACACAACTCTGTGTAGATTTGGAATGTATTAACATACACACACTCTAACAAAGGAATGAACAGATGAATGAAGAATAAATAAAAATCTTTGTTCCCCATGCCCTGCCACTTTTCTTTATATTCGACTCTCTGGAGACAGGGGGGAGTGGGAAATGCAAAGAATGCAGGCACTGTGGTGCAGTAGAAACAGCCTGAGCTTTGAAGACAGACAGGCCTGGGCTCTACTACCCTTGAGATCAAAACCAGCTTCCATCCTGCTCTTAATCCTTAGCATCCAGCACTGTGTCCACCCCATAATGGACAAATGATAAATGTCCATTGAATTAGGGCAGTGAAAATACTCTGTATGATAGTATAATGATGGATACACGTCATTATACATTTGTCCGAACCCAGAGAATCAAGAGTGAGCCCTCATGTACACTATGGACGTTGGGTGATAATGATGTGTCAGTGTAGGTTCATAGTTGTAACTACTCTAGTGGGGGATGTTGTTAATGGCGGAGGCTATGCACGTGTGGGGGCAGGGGGCGTATGGGAAATCGCTGTACTCTCCTCTCAATTTTGTCGTGAACCTAAAACTGCTCTAAAAAAATAAAGTCTTTAAAAAAATGTCCATTGGATGAATAAATAGATGGATGGATGGATTCCAATTCTAACTAATCCACCTATCTGCTATGTAATTTCAAACAAGTTATTAAACCTTTATAAAGGTATTCAGCTTTAAAATGGGAATAATACTAACTACCTTGAAAAGTTATTATAAGGATGAAATAACATGCATAAGATGCTGGGTTTAAAGTAAGTTACGTTTTCTCTTTGTGAATTTCCCTGTCTCTCAACCTCATCTTTATTACTGATACTCAGATCTATAATTCCAGCTTAACAGTTCAAGTCCTGTATCTCCAACTGTCTCTGAGGCATTTGTAACTATATGATCAATGACCTTAAATTCAAAATATCTAAGACTGGGCTCTATCTTTCCTCACTCCCTAACACTCCCCCGTAAATGAGATGGAAACATTGGAATCACCTTAGACTCTTTCAAATCACTAAATCCTCTTAATTCTTTTGTTGAAATGTTTCATTAACATCATCCCTTCCTACACAAAATAATGTTAATAATAATAATAATAGCTAACATTTATATTGTCCTTACTACGTAACCAGGTACTTTTCTAAGGTACACATATCAATTTATTTAATTCTCAAATAATCCAATGAGTAGATACTATTATTATACCCATTTTAGAGACAAGAAAACTAAGGCACAGAAAAGCTTAACTTGTCTAAAGTTATACTGCTAGTGCATGGCAGAGCTGGGATTCAAACCTAGGCAGCCTGGCCTCAAAGTCCATACCCTTCCCTCCTACCCTACACTGCCTCTGTAAGCTGAAATGCCTTTCTCCAAGAGCACCTGCTCGGCAGACAGCGAGGCTGACATTTTTCTGAGTAGTCCTTCAGCCTCTAAGTCTATCCAATCTTCAGTTCAAAGTAAATACTGCATCAGAAAATCACCCAAACGGGAAGGGAATCATCTGCTTTGCATGATGCCATCTCCTGCCCAAAGCCGCATGTCTCTGCTGGCTCCTGGTGACTACCACTAACGCGCTTGGCCACTGGGGGCACCAATGCCCCCCCATGACTAAAGTTACAAAAAAAATCTTTCCCCCTTGAGTCAGCAAAGATATGGTTAAAAATTTTCAAATGGAAATGTTACTAGGCAGCTTAAGGAAAACTGAACAACAACAAAAATTCCACAACCTACAGAAATTAGTGAAGTAACCAAGTGCAAATTTATGATCCTAATTTTTTAACAGCTCTATCTGGCTGTCTCTATATGTGAGAACTGATGCTCAACAGTGATCTAAAATGCGTATCCTCAGGTAGCTTTTTATTTTGTATTGTACCCAGGTCTGATGGGGCCTCTATCTCAATCAGAATTTACTCACAATCTTTTCCCCAGATATGCAATCTCCTATCTTCCCCTCTAGCCCAGAGCTATAATGTTTCTCCAAACCACTCTAACCCACTCTCCCATAACTAGCTCCTAAAGACTCTCTTTCTAAACCAGGGTTTCTCAATCTCTGTGCTACTGACACCGTGAGCAGGATAATTCTTTGTTGTGTGGGACTGTCCAGTGTATTGTAAGATGTTTAGAAGTGACCCTGGCCTACCCATTAGATACCAGAAATGACAATCAAAATTGTCCCCAGACATTGTAACCTCTGATTGAAAACCACTGTCCTCAAAATGAGGTCCATAGACCATAGCTTCAACATTCCCAGGAAACTTCTTAGAACTATAAATTTCCAGGCCCCACCCCAGACCTACTGAATCAGAACTTCCAAGGCAAGAGCCCAGAAATCTGTGTACTAACCTTCCAGGTGGTTCTGAAGGAAGCTAAAGTTTGAGAACTACTAACTTAAACTTAATGCCATCCTTACAGAGTGAAGGCAACTCTGCTTCTTCTGTAAGTCTCTGTGGCTCTAGGGCCCTAGGCCCAACCCTTGTTTCTGATCCACTTCTCTTGGTCCTGTTTGAGTCTGCCATAATCTCTTCCCTAGTCAGTTTTAGAGACTGTTTCTACCTTATGGAAAATCTTGGCTTCTCTACCATGCATTTTAGGCTACCAAATGGGCCTAGTGACACCTCTTAGCCTCGAAGGCAGGCACGATCTTTCTCTAGAGACCAAGAGCCAGAAAGAGACCCTCCAACTCACCCTGCTCCAAAGCCCAGATGTCCCTCTACACCCCAAACCAAATCCTCGCTTCCTGTCAGGGGCTCCTCTAGTTCCTTGCTATGGGACAGAAGCCACAATTGGCTGGTCCTGGTCTCAGGGCATCATAAGCCTTTCTGGCTTCAGTTACCAGCTCCACTACGTCCCCAGGTTCTCAAGGACGACTCTCTTCTCAGGTGCTCTGACTTTGCAGAATTTTTCCATCATATTTTTCAACCAAGATACCTTAAATATAGAATCCCTTAGAACATCCCAGGACAGTATCCATGACCAGAATCCATATGGCAACTGACCTTTTCACCACAATCCACTGCCAGAATAAACGTCCTGAATCTTCTTTCTCCCTTGCTCAAAAACTGCCATCAGCTAAACAGTGTTAGCCAATTAAAGTACAAACATTTAGTCAGAGTTCATGATTTTCCATGGGAGGTGATGGAGCAGAATGGTTTGAAGTTAGATTCAAGTAGGACTCAAATCCAGCTTGACCACTCAGTAGCTGCATGACCGGGGACAAGTCACTTAACCTCTCTGAGTTTCAATTTCCTGGTCCATAAAATGGAAATGATAAATCTACACCAGAGTATTGCTGTGAGGATCACTGAAATCATGTATCTAAGCTCCTGGTTTACTAAAGAAACAACTCTTATTACAACTTTTTTTTTAAATAAGATATTTGGGGGCTTTACAACTATTAACTCGCCCCTGGCATGCTCTCCCAAGCAAGTATTCCAGACCTGCAGCTACCCTGGGTGTAATAAGCAGACACATAGGTTGCCCAAGATTCTTGTAGATGCCCACTACATCTTGAAGATGTAGTGCTGACGCTCCGCTTTGGCGGCCCAGGTTCAGTTCCCAGGACCTACACCACTCGTGGCCATGCTGGGGCAGCGACCCACATACAAAATAGAGGAAGACTGGCAACAGACGTTAGCTCAGGGAAAATCTTCCTCAGCAAAAAAAAAAAGACGTAGTGCTGAGCAAGAAAGGAGCCTCTCCCCGCCACGCCCTACTCACTTGTATGCCTCACCTGCAGGGCTGCCCCAACCTTCCCAAATCAGAGAATGTGTCTTCTAGCTCCAGGTCTGTCACTAACCAGCCATCTTGGGCTAAATGATCTCAAAAGTCCCTTTTACATCTAAAATTCTAAAAGAGAATCATTAAAAAAGCATCAGGAGCCAAGCTAACCGTGTATCAATCAGGAGTGAATATTAAGCAATTCTAAAGTTCTCTGAAGTCACCAAGAAAATAAAATGCATTTCTGCCCAGGAACAGCGTTCTGGTAAAGGTGTGCTTGCGTATACAGCATCTGTATTATCATTAACACCTCTCTCATTTGCATTCTCGCCAATAGCTCCTCGTTTCCATGGCAACAGCCCTTCTACTCATCAGGGGCCTAGCGAATATACCACTTTCATTTCTTTCTCCTTCCTGCCCAAAGAAGTCACAGCAGAGGTGGAATCCACAGGAAACATGATGCAAACAAGTTCAGAGTGGGCAGAGGCCCCTTGCCCTCCTGCACCTCCAAACTCTACACTTGCTCCCCTCCCTGCAAGGCTCCCTCAGTCCCCTCCAACTGCCCGGATGCCAGCCTCTAAGTCCTCACATTCTCACCATGTTAGAAATGCTGCGGGTGTTGGCAGGGTTCAGCATAACAATCTCAGTGGTGATGTGGCCCTCCACCGCCTCGGTCATCTCGTCCACTGTGCAGTTGATGGACGGGTCATAGATCTTAAACCAATTGTCGGCATACCACCCAATGAGGAACCAGACATACTTCTTCCCGAAGAGCCGCTCCTTGTACACCTGAATGCAGAGGAGGAGGAGGGCTGGGTCTTTGTTTTGTTTTTTGTCTTATCTCACTTGACACTATTCAGTCTCTTGGGAATCAGAGGAGAGCAGGGAATTCTATAACTCTTGGGGGTAGTAGCAAAGGATCAAATACTCCTCCTTGTAAGTTCCTCCCCAGCCTCTATCTCTGAGCGACCTTTTCCAGCCACTCAGGAAAGATGGGATTCGTGAGCCCCTCCGGAAACACAAAAGGATAGGAAAGTGAGATCTGAAGAAAGTGTTATGTGTGTGAGAAGCCAAGAGATGGAGTCGGAGCCAACAGACAGGGACATTGTATTAATCATCACCTCAGATCATTTGCTTTCAACTTGAGCAAAGATGCAGAGAAGAGATCCCATGAGACACCCAAGGCAAAGAGCCCACCCAGCCCCCCTCCCTCTACCGATTCCAACTCCACCTCACAGAAAACTTTCCGGGCTTCAGTCTCATAGAAAAGTCCCACGATGATTCGGGCGTCCTGGCGCTAGAGAATGGAGAGAAACAGAGCTCCTGAGGGAGGCCTGGAAACGCTGGTGGGGCTAAGCCAGCGCTTCCAAAGCTTTTGATTTCCTGTCCCTAAGTGCTTCGTGCAGGCTTCAACGGGGAGTGGATAAATGTCAACTGGAAGATGGAGCTAAACTTCCCCAGGAGATGCTACCGCCTCGCAGAATCAAAACTATGTGACGTGATAGGGGTGTTAGCAAACACTATGGTGGTAATCATATTGCAGTATAGAAATGTACCAAATCAACACATTGTACATCTTACACAATGTTAAATGTCAATTATAACTCAATACCAAAAAAAACAACTCGCCCCCGCCTGGCTCTCCTCTCCAACCCACCACTGTTCCCCGACCTGGTGCCTCTGCAGGCTGAGCCCACCACTCCAGCCCATCTCACCTTAAGGTTTTTGACAGGCACTGCTGGATCTGAGAAGAAACTCTGACGGAAAGTAATCTCGATTCCAGCCTCCTTCACTCGTTCCTCTAGGTCGTCCAGAGTCTTGGGTGGCAATGAGAAACAAATAGAAAAAACATGGGGTGCACGAGGGGGTAAAGACTGGAGATGTTACCTGGGGATTGCATACTCAGAGCAAAGGAACAGCAGTTCTGAACCTCCCTTCAACAGCTTCTGTGCCCAGGGTGGGGAGAGTTCAAAGGAAAGCATCTGGAGTCTTAGGATGTGGCTTCCAAGTGGGAAGGTGCATGGTGAGCCCCTCCTGAGGATCTGTGTCTAGGAAAGTCACTTCATTCACCCCACTCCTACCAGACAGCAAAAATGGAGGAAACGGAAACAGAGGAACCAGGAGAAGACCAGGCAGGTCTGGTACAGACAGGATGATGTCAACCTCAAGAAGCAAGTGGGCAGATAGAAAAAAGGATCAGAGAAGAATGTCGTGAATCATCAAGAGAAAGTTGGGGGAGGATTAAAGGGCCACTGAACATAAGGGCAGATAGAGGATCCAAAGAATAGAACAAAAGAGAGGAAGCAGACTGCCTTCTTCAGGTATGGAGCCCTGTATTTCCTCTCCACCTCCACAAATCTCCTCTTCCACCTCTCCTTGTTTGTCCGCGTCTCTCTCTCAGAGTCAACTACCAGACCCGTGTACATATACTTGTCTGTCTGCCTCCATCTCTTCTCTCTCTCTTTCTCTATCTCCATCTCCATCACTTTCTCTCCTTCTCTCCTTCCCTGTCTCCTCCCTCTCCGTCCCTGTGTCCATTTCAATAGCTCCATTCTCTCTGTTCCCTTCCCACCCACCACTACCTGCCTTGAGAGCCTCTGGAATCTGACACTTTCCTGGTTCCTATCCCACATTCTCTCCCTTACCTGGTCTCAACTTTGGAGTGAATCTGCTTTAACAGAACTGGGCCATTTAGGGTCTATCTGAGGAACAGAGAATTAAAGGAGGAAAAAAGTCCTAAAACCAAAAAGTTGGAGATGATCCTGAGAACTCAACTGGTTTATTCCTCTGGCTACAGAAAGGACATGCACTTAACCCACTCAGACTGTGTTGTCTTTTGATTTTAAGAAACAAGATCTTGGGCCGGCCCTGCAGCACAGTGGTTAAGTATGCACGCTCTGCTGCTGGTGGCCTGGGTTCGGATCCCGGGCACCCACTGATGCACCACTCATCAGGCCATGCTGTGGCAACATCCCATATAAAGTGGAGGAAGATGGGCACAGATGTTTGCCCAGGGCCAGTCTTCCTCAGCAAAAAAAGAGGAGAATTGGCATGGATGTTAGCTCAGGGCTGATCTTCCTCACACATACACACAAAAAAACAAGATCTTCCCCCTAAAATGAATCCCAAGTTTGAGTTTGGGATTTGAGTGAATGCCCCCTCCACCCCATCCCTCCTCACCGAAGTGAAGACCTCAGTGGTCTGCTGGATGGTGGCGATCTTCTTCCAGCCCCACTTTTCAAAGAGTTTCACACGGGTAGGATTGTGGAGTGTGGCTGAAGGATGGGTCCGAAAGAATGTAGGAAATCGCTGCCGGTTTGACAGGGCCGGTGAGCTGGAGCCATAGGAAAGCTAAAAGGGACAGGGGTAGTGCAAAGGGTATGTTCATCCCGGATTCACTAAGAGCTGTAAGCCTTCCCCTGCCTCTGGGCTTCTCTCCACCAGTCTCTCCAAACCTCCGTACTTCTGCCCAAGGAAAGAGATTCTCAAAGGCCCACATACCCCCTCACAATCAGAACGCTCTTTCACTGATCCAAATTCCATTTCTTCAAATAGGAACAAGGTCAGCCACAGCGCTGTCAGGACACTGTTGCTAGGAGGCTGACTAGCTTGGGTCTCTGCAAAGGACTCTGAATCTTGGAAGCAGGTCCTCCGCAGTCCTCTTAAATACAAACCCTTAGTACACCCCCTCTTTAGTACAGCGCAAAGGGGAACGGCCCCCCCTTCTGACCTTCATAGCCCTGCTTACCACAATGAGGTTCCACATCCTGGCAGCCTCAGCCACAAGCGTGGAGACGGAGCTGCAGCCAGGCATGAGGATGATCTTGATGGGGTCATTGTAGAGCAGCTCATACAGGTACTTGGTGGCTTGGCCTGGGTCACACTGAATGAGGAGGACCTGATGAGGGCAGGCTCTCCCAGAGCTCCTCCCCTCCCTGCAACTCCTACTCTTTTATTTTTCATCAACAACTTAGTTACTTCCCCAACTACCCATCCCTCTGCTGAAACCCTTTTATCATTATTACCATTTTCTTCTCCTTCTTGACATCTCTCCCTGTCGAGTCTCTTGTTTTCCCTCATTTGTTAAACACCCTTCTCTGTCTTCCACCTGGTGCCTTACCCGCACCCTCTCCTGCACATCCCTCCATCACTGTTAATGCATATACTGTCCTCCCTCCTTTAAGCTCATCCTCAGACATCCCCCGCCCACCTTCTCTCTATCACCCCTGCCCCCATGTTTCTATGCTCCAAAAATCTGCAAGAAGAGCCTGCAGGAATATGAATAAACTCTCCCCAAGTCCCCAGACAGCCTCCTCAAAGCCATATTATGAAAATGTCTCCCTCACCTCTGCAAACTCCCTCTCCCCACCTTCCATTTTTCCCTCCCTCTTCTCTTTTCAGGGCTAGTGATAAACAAACAAGCGAGAAAAGGAACAAGACCACTAGGGGGTCCCAGCTCAGCAGATCCATCCCCTCCTGCTGGGCCCTGACATTTGACGGGTCCATTAGAAAAAGAGACACTCAGGGGTGGAAGCAGGGAAGAAACAAAGATGAGGAAAGAACTAGGGAAAATAAAGAGAATGGGACTCTCAAGAAACCAGATGCTTTTTGAGGTGCCTGAAAGAGAGGCATGGAGATGGGAAAAGTAAACAACGCAGAAAGCTAGAAAGGAAAGGAATGACCGGGACGAGGGAAGGGGAAAAGCCAGCCACGGGTCTCCCACTGCCTGGTCCCCTCCTGCTGAAATATGACATTTCAGAAGCTGCTGGAGCCCCAAAGGAAGTGGAGAAGAAATGGAAGTCAGGGGGGAGCCAGAGCAGAGAGGACAGACAGGAGGCACAGGGGACTGGGGAGGGTGAAATGGCAGGGCAAGTAGCAAGGAAATAAAGACGGCCCCCTGGAGTCTGCTTGCTTCCCACTGAGGCCTGACATTTGGGACACCGTGGGAAGTTGGAGAAAGGGAGCCAGGGGAGGCTGGCAGAATCCAAAGGACCAACACTCACCGGGAACTCTCTGCTGCCCACCAACCCCATCCCCTGCTAAGGTCGTGCTCAATGTCTGCTCAATGGCGTTTTTTGAAGGTACTTCATCCTTCTTTACCATTCTCAGGTCCCACCTTCCCGCACTCTCCCAGCATTTATTACTCCAGATCCTGGCACACCCCTGCCTCCTTCTCCCAAGGCCCCTCAGTGCCCCTCCCTTTCTTCTCTGAAGAAAAGATTGATAGGAATAATGGGGACGTATGAAAACATACAAGATACATAATACAGGGCGATGTATGCTACCTCACTGTCTCTTCTTGGGTTCCCTCTTCCTTCTCTACCTTCTCTAACATCCCTTTCCCGCTTCCACACCCTATTCATCACTGCAGATTCCCTCCACCATGTAACTCTTACCCCCTCCCCAATAGACTTCCTCTGTTCTCCTCCCTCTCCTCTGCTCTTGCAAGGATCCGGATTTGCAGGCAGGAAACGACACATTCCAGTTGATACATTCCAGTTTGTCTGCCTTTCCATCTCCCCCTTGCCACCGCTGCTATTTTCTCCTCCATCTCCTTTCTCTCAGGTTTCCCATCTGCTCTCCAACACCTCCAGGGAACCACCTGTCATGGTGGATGAGTTTAAGCTCACACACAGGGCTCTCCTAGCTCCCTGTGATCCCTTATCCTAAAGCTTGCACCCAGCTCCCCCGTCTCTCTCCCGTACTCCCATCCCCCATAGCCAACTCCCTCTCTTGCTCTCCTAAGGCTGACCCCTCCATCAGATCTGACCCTCTATTTCCCTTCCTGCTTCTCCTGCCACAATACCCAGATCTTTTCCTGTGCCCTGCTGCTCTTACCATAGGCACCCTGGGATGAGTTACATGGACATCCACCAGGGCAGGACTTCTATTGGTAAAAATGCAGATCCTTGGGACTCACCCTTGACCAAGGAGTTAGAATCTGTATTTTTAGCAAACTCCTTTGATGATTCTTATGTACACTGAAGTTTTAGAATCACTGAGAAGGTGTCAGAAGGGATCTGAAGTTCCCTCTCTAAGCTCCTAACAGTCCTGTGCTCTCTTCTCCTCCAACACCCTACCTTCAACTCCACTTCTGCCCCTTCCTCCCTCACATAACTATTTCTAGGTATAGATTTCTGTTCTGAAGAATGAATATAAAGCCTCAGTCCACCCCAAGGGTAAGATCACCAAATCCTCACCTCTGTACTCTCTTTCACTCTCCCTCAATCCCTTAAGTCTCTGAGGCCACATGTCAGAGAAGATAAATTTGAGATCCCAAATCTCCTTCCTTCCCTGTGCCACATCCTTCCCCATATTCCCAATTATTCATGTAGGGAGAGGGGTGGGAAAGGAATCTATAGGACCATCCCCTACTACCCCTAGACCCAAATTTTCTTACCTTCCCCCTCTCCCTCTTGCTCATCTCCCTAACCCTACATCCTACTTCCCTTCTCACATCTTAGAGGCCACAATGCTGTAGGGAAGATAAACTCAGGGCCAGAGTGCTACAGAATGCCCCAGGATCTCTCATGAGCCCCTCCCCTCCTCCTTGCCCCCCTCCCCCACTGCCATTCTTTCCTGTTGTCTTTCTCCTTTCTATATCCTGATTTCTCTCCAGCCCCATGCTATTGTGGGGACTCTTTTGTGGACCCTTAATGCAATTCATTTTCCCAGTGCCTCTGCCCATCTCCTGACCATTAGCCTTCACCAACCACAATATGCCATATATTCCCACAGTCCAGGAACCCTCCACAGAGATGGGATGGAGGGATGAAAAGGAGTCAGGTAGAGCTCACAGCTACCTTGCTGTTTGTTGTGATAAATAAACTAGAGCGCTCAAGTCCCTCAAAATGTTTCTCATTCTGTCCCTATTCCTTCCAGCTCCAATCTGCTGCCAAGATTTACCTTGTTACTATGGTGAATATAAAGCTCTGATCCAGCTCCCCACTTCTGACCTTCCCTCCATCCCCCAACCCATCCAGGGGTAGTTTACTCCTCGGAGGATCAAGATCAGCTCAGCGCTTGCTATAAGTCCCTCCCCAGTTTCCCCAAACCCCGGGCACCTCCATGGGTCACCGGGCACCTCCATGGGTCTCAGGAGCAGAAAGGTCTGCCTTGTAGCATGATTAACCATCTTGAACCTCAGACCCTCATCTTGAACCTCCAGCCCCCGCGACTCCCCCCAAGCTCCCGCGACTCCCCCCAAGCTCCCGCACCCCCAACCCATCTCCTGCTAGTCACACATGCGAGGGATCTGCCTCATAATTCCAGAAGCGACTCAGACAGGCGCGTGCAGCTGTCCCCCTGCCCCCCAAGCCCCCACCTCCCACCCACTCCCATGTCCCGGGCTACCTTGCTGTCGTGGTGGATGAGCTTGAGTTCATAGTCCGGCAGGATGTCCCTGCGGCTATTCACGTCCTCCAGCGCCATCTCCACCGCGGGCTGGCAGGCCTGGCCCCCTGGCCAGCCCCCGCTCATGGGAAACAGCGCCCCGATGTACACTGCGCGCCGTTCTGAGGAGGGGTGCGGGGGGACCCGCGGGTGAGGCCGCGGGAGATGAGGGGAGTGGGAGGCCCACATCGGAGCCACCCCCGCCGCCATCACCACTAGGAGCGGCAGTGGCCATCCCACCTGGGGAGAGGGGGCCCCCGGACCCATGGCGGGGGGCCGGGGTAGCTGCTTGGGGATGGGGAGGAGCTCAGGGGGGACACTTTTCCTGGGGAGTGCTGCTGAGGGGGTGTCGAGGAGGTGCCTCCATCCCTGTGGGGATGAGGGGGCTAGGGCCTCAAGGAAGCACGGAAGGTTGGCTTCCTACGGCCCCCACAGCTCTAGCTCGCGCCACCGCCACCGCCACCGCGGACTCTCCTCGCGGACTGACTGACCCGACCGAGGGGAGGAGGAGGAGGAGGAGGGAGATGTAGGGCTGGGAGGGGGCTCTGACGTCACGGGCGGCGCGCGGCAGCGGTGGGGGGGCGGGCAGGAGTTGGGGAGGGAGGAAGGGGGCGGGGATGGAGGAGGCGAGCGCGCTGTGGGAACAACAGTCAGCGGGGAGGGGTGGGGAAGCCAGGGGGGACGCGACCCCCAGGGGTAAAGGAACGGACAAGGAAGGGAAGGGTCCCACCTAAGCGGACACCAGGGGAGGAGAAAAGAGGGGAAGGGGCGTGCCGGGAGGACAGGGTGGGCGGAGGGAGCCGCTGGAGGCTGAAGCACTGAGGGGCGAGGGGCGAGAAGGGAAGAACGAGAATGGGACGCGAGAGAAAAGGGGCTGGCGCCTGAGCGTCTTAATGGGGGTGTGAATAGATGGGGTGAAGGCCTGAGGGTTGTGAGGGAGAGGGCGATGGCAAAGGCTTTGGAGAGAGATGTTGGGTGGGGAAGAGGGGGCTTGTTGTAAAGGGGAGTGACGGGGATCGAGGAAAGGAACTTGGGGCTGGGTAGGCAGAAGGCTGAGAAAGGGTGATGGGAAAAGGAGCTGAGATAAAAGAGAAGGGAAAGGATACGGGGAGGGAAAGGATATGGGGAGGAGCTGAAGGAGGGAGATGATCCAGGCGGGGGTGAGATAAGAGGGCTGGGCTGATGCAGGCGTCAGGCGAAATCCTAGGAAGGGGGCAGGCAGGAAAAGGTTCCAGAGAAGGTCGGAAGGAACCCCACAGGGGAAGGCAAGGTGGTAGCTCAGGGTCTCCCAGCACCCTGCCGCCCCCTGCTGGGGCTCTGCCATTTGGCAGAAGCAGAGCCTGGGAGGAGGCGGAGCCCAGGGAGCGCAGCCAAGCAGGGAGATGGGAGGGACCGCAGCCTCGCAGAAAACCGGGACTGGAGGCAGGAAACAGGTAGGGAAAGAAGGGGCCGGCCGCAAACTGGGGTGGGTGGAGGGAGGTGGGAGAAGGACGAGACCCCATAGCCTAGGGTAGAATCCCTGGGAGTGGAGGGTGAAGAGTGAGGGGTAATGGGATTGCAGTGCACGCGATAAGGGTTTCTGATCTCACCTGAGTGTGGCGTTCGATTCACTGGCAGCAGGAAAGACGGGGATCAGAGAAGAGTTACCACTGGCGCCCAGCTTCCCTGGCCTTCCCCAGCCCCCTCCCACACCTGTCCATGCCGAAGACCGGGGAGAGCAGAAGCCTGCGTTTCTCAGGGGAGGGTGCCTGGGGATAAGAGCAAGGTGGGGCTCTGGGTCAGGACTTGTTGGTTTTCTTCTTTCATTTTTCATAGGACAACAGAATTTGAGACAGGAGTGCCAACAGCTAAGACATGGGCAGATCCTGGCTTTGTGAAGCCTAAATATTATAAAATTTGGGGGTCTCTCTTTAAGAGAAAGAAAATGACAAATTACAAATACAATTAGTTTTAAGCTATTGCTGTTAAAATATCTTACTTTTGCAATTTTTACAAAAACCTATGATCACGTGAACACATTATTAGAGCCCTCTACATTACAAGAAGAGGCCTGTGTAAGTGAATTTAGCTTCTTAGTAAATCCACCCCCGGATGGGGCTCTCAATTTCCAGAATGGAATGGTAAACTACAAGCGGAATAATTAAGTTAAGTGAGGAAAGCCAGGTCCGAGCATCTTGAAAGAGTCTACAAGGGTAGAGGAAGCATGAGATATGCCTGCATCCCAGGAGAGATGACTGTAGAGGGAGAATCTGGGTGCCCAGCAAAGGGAGAAGTTTGCAGAACTAGATGGCAAAAAAGGGAGTGGGCACAAGACCAATTCCCTTGGGGAATGATGATTGTCTGGAAGGTATAGAAAAGGACAATCCTCTTCCCACCCCCCTCCCTGGGTTGTCCTTATTGCGTTGACAGTTCTGCCCCCAATTTTAAGTCTTTTTAATTTTTACCCTGATAATTTTCCACCCCAGATATTCTTTCCAATCTTATCAATTTTTCTAAATATGACACATGATTTATTTCTGAGTCTTTACAGTAATTCAATCAAAAATGAATGGAGAGGATCAATTCTAGAAGAGGGTTATACATAGAAAGTTCTAAGTTTAGAGAAAGGGACTGAGAGAAGGGGAAATTGGAGTATTTTAACCTTAAGAAGGATGATGGAGGGTGAGATTCATAAAGGAAAAGAGAAAATGTGAGACCCAAGAATTGGGAGCGAGGAGAAGATATAAAAAGGGAAAAGTAAAGGAAGGAAGCCCCCAACGTAGGTAAAGTGGAAACTGGGGAATGCAGGAGGAAGTTTGAGGCAGGTGGATGGAGGAAAGAGTTGGGCTTTCACCTCTGCCTCCCCAAAGTCCCCCATTTTGTATAGCACCCCGTCCTTTCCCACCATCCATTCCCACCCCACTCCCATCTTCTCACAAGCGTCCTTATCAGCTAGCTGCATGCAGGCAGCTGTTCCCCTCACCCTGGCAGTGGGGCTTGGGGGTGCTCCACTGGCCCTGACTACAGATGCTCCGGGAGCTGCCCACCAGATGGAAGTCGGGGTCACACCGGAAATCCACCCGGGCTCCGTCCAGAGCTGGGAGGTCCCCACCCGTCAGGAAAACCTTCCCATTTTCCAGGGTCAAATAAGACTTGGAGCAGATTCGGACTGTGGAGAGATAGGAAAATAGAGAGAGGCGAGCTGGAGAAGGCTCTTTCCCCTTAGAGAGCAGAGGGCTCAGATTTGGGTTTGAGTCCACAAGCATCCTACTCTGCAGGAAATCAGGTGTAAAAGGGATTCCTCTCTAGCGTCCACTCCTCCCTTAACCCTGTAAGCATCCACGCACTCCCAAAAGAAAAAAGAAAAAAGCATTTCCATTGTTGGAACCCAAGATGGAGCTATAAACACATAAAATCGTATCTCTTGAAAGTCAGCTACAGTGGGCGGTTCTCTGGCTTTAAGATGTGTGGATGTATGTAACTTTAGATGCACAATCAGATTTGCCTTACTTATTATAGTTGGCTTATATTAATGTTAAACTGGGTTTTGTTTCTTGGGTATATGGTCTCTATGTTGGAGACAGAAGTATTTGAAAATGTGATGAAACCATCTTAAAAGGTTTTTGCATAATCTGCCACTCATAATCCTCAAAGAGAGTAACTCACAAGATGAATAATCAAGTTACTTTATCAAATGGTCAGTGGCCTAATGAAGGGAGGATGAAATGAAACGTGCAGGTTGTTAACTTTACTGCCTCCAACTGCACACAGCAAAGTCTCTCTTACATAGTAGTCGTTCAATAAATGTATTTGTGAATTTAGTTACACTGGATTTAAAGTGCTGACTTGCAAGTAATAATGCTAAGTTTGAGTGAGGAAGAGCAATGGTCTTGAAGAGGGGAGGGGCTTTGCCGGCTACTCACCACAGCGGCTGGGTGTGTCCATATCTGTCCAGGAGCCATTAGCGAGGCACTTTCGGACCTTGGGCCCCACCACTTCGCGCTCACCCCGGCACACATACTCAATCTCATAGTCCACTGGCAGGAAGTTGATAGCCTTCACCTGGTCTCGAGTCAGGCCCCTGTACCTGATGCCCCCTTCCCAGGGCGGGTGTATGATCTGGCAACCTGAGGGGTGAGTCCCAGGAGGCGCAAAGAGAGGAATGGTGGGAAAAAAGGAAAAGGCAGAGTCAGCGGCGGGAGACAGGGGAGCGTAGGGCGTGGTCAATGGACAGGTGGAGGACAGAGGGGTTGGGATGGGATGCTAGAGGTTGGGAGTGGGGATGAAGACAGAATCCTGGGCTAAAAGACGGAGAGAAATGAGCCAGGGTTAAGGCTAATGACAGAGCCCACAAGTCGGAGAGAGGGTGATGGTTGGAGGTAATGGAGAAAAGTAATTAAGAAATCGGTGAAGGGGGTATAGTATGCAAGTGAGCTTGGTAATAAAGGCTAAAGGAGGATATTTGAGTTGAATTAGGATGAGAGGAGAGGGGGTTCTTATAAGGCCACCTGGGTAGCAACGTGAGACCAAGGAAAGGGCAGAACCGAGGTAGTAATGTGGGGCCAGGAAAGAGTGGTGGGGTGGAGGAAACAATGCGGGGTCACAGGAAGGTGGCCTAGTGTAGTAATGTGGGGCAGGGGAAAAGGGGTGCTGGGTAATAACGCGGGGTGATGGAAAGGGGGTCAGGAGTAGTAAAGTGGGGCCAAGCAGACGGGGTTGCCAGGCCGGGATGCTATGTAGGGCTGAAGGGACAGTAATGAGGACCAGAAAAGAGGAGGTGCAAGGAAAGGGGGAGTGGGGTGGAGGGGTGCCCGAGGTCGCCGGAGAAGGGTGCACCTTCTGAGGTGGCGTTGGGGGTCTGCGCCCCGCCCGCGCCCGGGGGGCGGAGGAAGAGCGGCGCCAGCAGCAGCAGCAGCAGCAACAGCAGCATCTGAGTGAGAGGCGGCCGTGAGGACCGGACCGAGCCCCGCCGGCGCGGCCCGGACCCGGGAGGCGGCCCGGCCTCCCTGCGGTTGCCTCCCGGGCTCCGACCCGGCTCAGCCTGGGGACTAGGAGTGCGCCCCGCGGAGGAGGCGGGGGCGGAGCCCGGCGCGGGGTGGGGGGAGAGGAGGAGAGAAAGCCTGTCCCCACCCTCCTCCTGCCTCCCTCGGCCCCCCACCCTCCCGGGACTCCACCTCTCACCACCTCCTCTCCCCCGGCCCCCGCGGCTCGCCGGAGCCCGGCTTACCCACGCTCTCCGGCTTGGCCGCCTCATCGCTCCCGGATTCCTTCCCCGCGGTTCCCGGTCTCCCCCAACACCCTGTCCCCCCGGATCGGCCCTCCCCCAGCGCGCCCCTCTCCAAACCCCGTTCCCCCGGGCCCTGGCTCTTACCTCGGCGCGCCGGCCCAGCTCCCCGGCTCTCCCGGGCCTCAAGGCCCCAGGCCCGGCCGCTCCTCCCCGCTCCCCCTTCCTTTCTCCTCCACCTTTCCCCTCCTCCCGTTCCTCCTCCCCTCGAATCCGGGCTCCAGCCCAGCCAGGGTCTCTCCCTCCTCTCTCGCTTCCCCCAAACCCCACCCCCGTCTCTCCTTCCCTGGGGCGGCGGCGGCCGCGGGAGCGGGGAGCCGGGAGGGAAGGAGGCGGCGCCGGGGACCGGGGAAAGCTCCCGGGCGGAGGGAAGAAGGAGGGTGCAGAAGACTGGGGCGGGGGAGAGAGGGGGAGACCGGGGAGCGGGCACCTCCCACAACCCGAGCCCCGGGAGCCGCCCCGGATCCCGGCCCCGCCCTGGACCGCCCACAGCGCCGGGGGGGCGGGCGGCGGAGGGGAGCGGGGCTGAGAGGTAGGAGCGAGGGAGACTGTGCACACGCACACACGGGTGGGGGCCCGCGGGCAAGACGACTGGAAGTGGGGTAGGGGCGAGGGAGCCCGAGCCAAAGGCAGAGGAGCTGGCGCTGAGACAGGGAATCTGGGATGCAGGTGAAGAAAGACGGTTGCACAAAGAGAAGGCAGCCCTGAATCGGGGGTAGAGGAGAGAGGCCGAGGGCCAGGAGGAGAACGAGACGGGTGGGGGAGAAAGGAGAAGCCAGGGTCAGACAGTGGAGGGGCGGGAGGAGAGGGGGTGAAGGCCAGGAGCCACCTAAGGGCCACAAGAGTTGGGCGGGGAAGAGAGCTGGGAGACCAGAGCGGCTCCATGGGTCCAGCAGCACTGCTACTCGCCTGCACCTGCACCGGGAGGGGAGCGCGGAGAGAGGACTGGAAGTAAAGGCCGGGAGGGGAGCATCAAGGAGAGAAACTGAAGTAGTAGGAGAAAAAGAAAAAAGGCAAGAGAAAGAAAGAGGCTCCAAGCGGGCAGGAGCCAGCGTTTTCTTCTACACTCCAACAGGGCCTAGCAATCAATATTTCTCCACTAAGGGAGAACTGGAAACTCTAGAGACAGAGTGGGGAAATACAGGCCTTTTGACAGTTCCAGAGGCTTCTGGCTATTGTCTGGTGGTGGAAGGTGTGTGCATGTGTCTGTGTGTGTGTTGTTCATAGGAGTGAGTGTGGGCTGCTAGAGGATACAGGGGTTCCTTCTGGGGGGAAAAAAAATCCTTTCTGGCTGGTCCTGGGAAAGAGATGGGAAAAAGCCAAATACTGTGAGACTGATTAGAACTGAAGTTCTCAACCTTCAACCATTTTTATAACAAATATTTTGTAGTGACTCCTGTACTATGCTGAATTAAAATTCATAGATGATATAACCTACCTACACACATAACTTTTAAGAAACTAACATGCTTCCCTGTCTGTAACATAAAGGGGAAATGAAAAAAAGTAATTTGTAGTAAAAGAACATGAACAATATTTTAAGGTGTGAGTGTTGAGGCCTGACTACTAGAAGTCATAATGAAGTAGGCAGATGCTTGCACTTATCCATAGCATCACGATGATAGAACTGCTACAAACGCAGGCTGATACAGGTGCCGAGTTGGTGACTCAACTACCTCCAGCATGTTGCCATCAATGAAGTGATTTAATGAAATGTTGAACAACTCGCGGTAGCAAAGTCAATCTTCCCTAAATTTACACAGAACTGTAATTGCATTCCTAGAAAGTTCATTGTATATTAAAACCGTTTTTTTAAAAAAGAAAAAAACTGTATTAAATTGTAGGCTCAGATAATTAAACACAGGTTTTCACCTACATGAATGTCCTAGGGGACATTTGAGAATCTGGGACAATTCTTCACTGTGTAGGCTATTCTTTGAAGAATATCTTATACCCCTGCCCTACCCATGAAAGTCAATAGTGCCCCCCTCCATCATTATAATTACCAAAAGAAAGCCCACAAATTTTCAAAATGTTCTCTAGGGACTGGTTGAGAACCATTGAGCTAGAAAATAGAAGAGAAGGAGAAGAGAGTGAGGCAGGACTTCTAGCCACTGAGAATGACAGCCACCCCTCCTATGAGTGGCCTGTCCTCTCAGCATAGCAGAACCAAAAAATGAAGATGTCGCCTAATATAAATTTATTGACACCACGAAAAACATCATATGGATGAGAAGTTTCCCAGACTGCTTTAGAAAGAATTTCCTGACTATGTGCCCAGTCTACACGCTAGTTCAGCTATCCCACCAGCAGGACACCCTCCCTCTGTGCTCCTATGTGGTCCTGACATGGCTAAGCATCCAGGGGACACCCTTTCCGGACCTAGCAGGGCCCTTCTGTAGGGGAGGATCTGAGTAGGCACTCTATGGGGAGCCTACAAACAAGCTCTCAAGGTCCTCGTCTAGTCTTTCATTCTGGCAACTTGTCATTCTCTTTACTGGAGTCCTGCCTGAAATGAGGGGGTTGGAAGAATGGAATCTCCCCTGGAAAAGAGGAGTCTATGATTCCATGAAAATGAAAGTTATCTTGGTGATATTCATTGCCACACTGCTGATGCTAAATCAGAAAAGGAAACAACCATAGTGTCCAAATCACAAAGTATTGATTCAGTAAGTTGGAATGTATACATTCAAAGAAATCGTTACAGAAACATGTTTAAAAGAGTACCTAATGACACTGACATGGGAAAATATGAAAGTTTGAGGAAAAAAAACAGGATACAAAATTTGCACAACTGTGGTATATATCTCTTAAAAAGCTAGAGGAAAATATATCAAAATGTTAGCAGTGAATGCCTCTGGAGCCGTGAATTTTTAGATAACTTTGTTTTTGTCTTATTTGTTCAGTTTTCGTTCAAATGTTTTACAAGTGTTACCTTCATAATCATTTTTTTAAGATTTGTTTTTTAACCTTCCTAAGCAAGTCGCAACAGTATAGCCAAAATCTGTTATTCAATTGGGCAGAGGCATTTGAGGGTGTGGACAGAAGCTCCAATTATATTCACTATACAAACTGCTCACCTTTTTCCACTAGTGGCTGCAACTTTCTTCTTTCACACCTTTTGACCTTGCAATGTCACTGCCCAGATTCCTGGCCCATATTCCTCAGGACATTTATTGAGGTCTTTCAATAGACCACCCACTGCTTGAGTATCCTAACCCCACCCTCCCCACAGCTGATCCACTTCCTTCTTTGCCGTCCACACCAAGTACAAAACTCCTCTCCTCTGGAAAGGTCCCTGGACTTGATCCCATCCTTCTTCCCTCATTCCTGTGTTCTTTGTGCCTTTGGCAACACCACCTCCTTTTACAGTTTTTGACTGTTTTTCTTAGAGATGGTGTTCCTACTCAGATTACCTGAGAATGACCAATCTTCTTGTTCATTTTGTTTTCCATACTTCCACTTCCTTTCCTCTCCTCTGCATCTACTGCCCAACCCTGAGAACATATAGCCCAGAACTTAGCACCCCACAAGCCCTGAAAACATATTAAGCAAAGTAGCTCAATCAATTGATGATCTGCTAGATACTAGGTGCTTCCAAGGGGTGTCTAATTTAATTCTCTCACAACCATGCCAAATAGATATGAATTTCCCTATTTTGGAGCTGAGTAAACTGTGATGTAGAGAAGTAAGAAGCAGATCAAAGGTCACCCAGCTATAAAATTGACAGAGCCAATATTCAAACTTAGGTCTGTTACTCTGTTTCCGGATTCTGTCCACTGCATTCAGAAACTTAGTTTCAAGGCCCAGCTCTCACCCAACTTCCACCCCAAGGCATTCTTTATCAAAGGTCAAACTGCATCTCAGTTCCATTTTCCCATCTGAAGTAGTAGCAGTTAGTGTGTGAAGAGAAGATATTCACGTCCTCTTACGTTGGGGTGGAAGATTTGTCTTCAGGGAGAGTTTTCTGTCCTACACAGCCCTTGTTGTAGAAAAATGTATGGGACAAAGGTTTAAAATTCAAACATGAAGTTATTTACATGCTAGGCTTAACTCTAGCTTTTTAACAAGGGCTTGAACCCTTTCTGCCATGCTTTAATATCACTAAGTCTTTCCTCTTTCACTCTGCCCCTCATTTTTCATTTGTGTGTTCTCTCTCTTCCTTTCTTGATGGGAGTAGGCATGCAGAATTACAGGGCCAGAAGAAGGTAGGGAGATGGAGGAAAATCTTTCTTTAACAAATCCTCTCAATTGCTTCCCACGCACAATTCTAGTTTGGTTATACATTCTTGACATTTCTGGCCTTGGTTCTTTGTGCCAGGAAAAAGAACCAGGAAAATTACAAAGCTATTTCGATAATACTTTTACAGGCATATACAGGGAAACCCAGTCTGGAATTCACAAAACTTCACCGAAATAAAAAGGCCACATTGTAAATACCTACTCCCCTGCCCACAAGATGCTCTGAGGTCATGGGAGCACAGTCTCACAGGTGCTCAGGGCCAATAACCAGGTTACAAAGTTGACACCGTGAGATGCCTCTATAAATGATTTCTCCGCAAGTGAGCTCTTCTATAATAAATGAATGAACACAGTGTAACGAAATGCTAGGTTAACCTAAGCAACAAAAAGGAAACTAGTAAGCTTGTTTGTCCCTTCTTCCAAAGGGCATATGAGGTCAGGCTCACAGATTTAGAAAAGTGAGCACTTCTACTCCTGGACCTGCAAGAGAATTGGATTTTTAAAGATTTCAAAATAAACACTTATTATGTTTAATTAAATATATATGTAATTAAGTATATACCAGATATGAATATTTATGCATAATTATTCATGCCGATCTGAAAAGCATATGCATCATAATGCATGTATGCCATTGGTTGGTATGGTTTTTGTTTGTTCATTTTGCTGCACCAGATTCGTCTCTTCCATTATGTCCAGTTCAAGTACCTATAATGATTCCTTAATTATTCGAAGCACACAAGCACACTAACCAAATATACTCAGAGTAAAAAGACTCATCACCTAGATTTTTCTACTAGAAAGTACAGAACGCTGAAAACTCCATTATTTGATATGTGTGTGCAGGTCCATAATAAAATAAACACATATTTCTCCAGTAAAATGCATGGCTATCAACATTAAGTGGAGTAAATACAGACTATAAATAGCTTCACATCTGGTTTTGCCACAAAATGGATGTAAGTCAGGCCAGGTTTTGCCACCAAATAAGTTAGACAAAATTTTTGGTTTTCAGAACATTGTGGATTTTAAAATTACAGAAAAGGGTATGTGGAACTGAGTTTATAAACATGAGACAATATTTACAAATAGATGTTTTAGGAGTCCAATGAACACATTTGAG